GGATCTCTGTGAGTTCGAGGCCAGCCTGGTCTACAGCGCAAGATCCAGGAAAGGCGCAAAGCTACACAGAGAAACCCTGTCTCGAAAAACCAAAAAAAAAAAAAAAAAAAAAAAAAGCTTAGATTTGCGATTCTTTTAAAATTTTTTATAAGATTACATTTTGAGATAAATAATAAAGTGATTGATCTTTTCTTTGTAACTGCAAAATGCAGTCTTCCAGTAAAAGAACTGACTGAGAAAAATGCCTTGCTTGCTTAAACTTTGTTAATCTATTAACAAGTTGCTTAGGCATGAATGTATGTGGATCCTTGGGATAATTTGGTTTTCACCTATAATACATAAAATGTTTAATCATGTAAGGGTAGTGGGAACATGCCGTTTTTCACTTGTATTCGTTGTAATCATTCACTTAAAAATAGATTGCAACCACATTCTAATTTTTATATTGCTTGAAAGATTTTGCTGGGGTATATAAGCTGTAAAGAAAAAAATAAAGAAATAAAGAAAATTAAAAAATAAAGAAAGTTGGAAGGAAAACATCAGAAAAGAGACAAATGGGATACATCAGGAAAGAAGGAAAAAAATCAAGAGAGAGACCTTGACACGCTGAAGGGGTGTGTGTGTGTGTATTCCCCTTTTTCGAAGGCTCCAGAGAAGTAAGTTTTACTTCCTTAGATAAAAAAAGTCAATTAATTGTATGATCAATCGCTGACTCCACATCTCCTCTTCAGTTCCTGAGCTGCTGGGAGCTGGTTCTCAGCAGCAGCTGCTCAAACTTTATTAAATAGAAACAAAATTATGAAATCCTAATCTTGTAAGAGTTACTATTTTAGCCAGGCAGTGGTGGCACACGCCTTTAATCCCAGCACTCGGGAGTCAGGCCCAGGTGAGTTCAAGGCCAGCCTGGTCTACAGAATGAATTTCAGGACAGCCAGAGCTACACAGAGAAATACTGTCTCAAAACACAAACAAACAACAAAAAAAGGTTACTATTTTATTAAAAACTGCTGAAGATAATTAAGACACAAAAAGTTAATTATCGCTGGGTGGTGGCCCACGCCTTTAATCCCAGCACTCCGGAGGCAGAGCTAGGTGGATCTCTGTGAGTTCAAGGCCAGCCTGGTCTACAGAGCGAGATCCAGGACAGGCACCAAAACTACACAGAGAAACCCTGTCTCGAAAAACCCAAATAAATAAATAAATAGATAGATAGATAGAAAATAAATAAATAAATAAATAGAAGCCTCCTTCTGCTTATGGCTTCTGGTTCCCTCCAACTTTGGCTCCTCCCTCGGGTCCCTTCCCCCAGTGCTCTGTGGCTCCTTGCTGCTTCTGCTAGCTCACTGCGGGCAGCATTCCTGGCAGTGGGACTTGTCACTGTCACCTGAATGGACTTACACCCACTTCCTCTCACCAGCTCACTGTCTCCCACCCCTATTTCTCCCCCCACTCCATCCACCTTTTTGGGAAATCACTCAGTTTTGCTCTATAACCAAACCATCTATTTACAGCTCTTTCTAATTATTTTTCCAAAGTTTCCTCAGGAATGCATCACGGCAACTGTATGATCCTTCGAAGCCGATCAACTTAAAATGCTCCTCCTGCTAAGTGACCAGAGGACCCCTCTTCAATGGACCCTAAACTATCTCCTCCTGAAGATGACCCTCCTCAGCAGGAAGTAGCTAAAAAAGGATCAACACCCCTATCCCCCCATTTTTATACCTTTTATGAGTTTAGACTAATAGAATGTCTTGGTGGTGAAACAGGATTCCTACAACATTAAAGATGATCTTGCTCAGTCATCCCAGAAAGAATGTTTACAGAGATAATGTTTACAGAGAGTCATACAATTCAGGAAAGACAGACTGCAGAACTGCACGTAGCTCCCATGGCTGCAACAATCTCCCCACTCTCAAGCCCTTCACCCTGTCCTATAAAGGGCTGCACCAGCTTTTCCCCAAGGCAGATCACCTCTGCAGGAGAAAAGCTCCCCTTCACCCTATGTGCTAACACACATAGTCCTGTCTGTCGGTCAGACGCCTGTCTCTTTTCTGCCTCCTGTCCCTTTGAGCTGTCTCAGAAATCTAACACACACCCTATAACCTATGACATAATGCTAACCTCTGAGCATTTTACAGGTTTAGGAAACACTTGATAAAGAAGGAGGCCATGTGGGGCTGGGACAGAACGGCTCAAGAAGCTTTTGAACAGGCTAAGATTCCCGTAGGATGGGCTAAACGGCTGTGTCCCTTTCACACTGTTCTCAACCTGTGGGTCGAAATCCTTTGGGGATCCCATAACAGATATCCTGCATATCAGATATTTACATTACAATTCATCACAGTAGCAAAATTGAAGTTATGAAGTAGCAACTAAATAATGCTGTGGTTGGTGGTTGGGGGGTCACCACAGCATGAGGAACTGTATTAATGGCGCAGCATTAGGGAGGATGAGAACCACTGTGTTAGAAGTCACTAGAAGCTCAGTGGGCTACAGCTGGATGCAATAGCAAAAGCAAGCTGAGTGAATGATTCCAATAGGGTTTGGGTCTCAGTCCTGAAAAGGGGCAGCCACTCCATACACAGCGCTGGCTGCATAGAAAGCATTTCAGAGAAGCCACAGCCACCAACTCCAGTTCAGCAGCCACGGAGCCCCAAGATGACTCACCAGCCCCAGAATCCTTGGACTTGTTCCAATAATCCGTTCAACCATGGTGGGTTACAAAGGAGTCCTAGGTGTGCAGAGATATGATTTACCTTTTCCCAACCCTGATGCTCTATTCACAGGGGATGTCCGGTCTCCATTTTTCCTTCACCTCAGCCCTCATGTTTGTCCTGGCCAGATTACACTCTTCTCTCATGCAGACAATTGCAATTGACTCCTATAAAGACACCTTCTCCTCCACTCTACTCAATACACAACCACCCCAATGGCACTGTGTGTATGCACATGCACTTGTGTGTGTGTGTGCATATGCACGTGTGTGTGTGCACATGCACACACGTGTGCCAGCACCTATGTGTAACTTTTTAAAGCTTTTAGAATCACTGTTGAAGTTTAATAGACAAATTATCCACAGGCTGAGAAAGTTTTAAAAATAAGGTACAGTTTCCTTCCCTCACAGGCAACCACTACTATAAGTTTCTTTTCTTTCGAGAAAGATCCCATGTATCTCTATGGACAGTAGACATGTATGATTCATTCTTAGTTTTAACTCTCATGATTGATAACTCTTCCTGATTATCTACCATCCACGGAACCCTCTCTCCAGGGCCAAAAATGTAATGTTTTAAATGTATGTTATATTGAGTTGAGATTTTTAAAAATCAGTGACTTGACATGGACAGGTAATTTCCAAACCGGTCGCCTTTGCATCGAGTCGAATCACTTCTGGCTAGAACAGAGACCACAGGCAGAGAAGCACAAGAACCACTAAAGGGAATTTGTATGGCCGTTACCTACAGTCACAAGAGCTGTTCCATCACCCACTCCCACCACCCTGCTCCCAGCCCCCCTCTCTCATCCTAGGATTGGTGTCCCTTCTCATGCCCCCTCCACATGCAGGACGCATCTGCCATTTTTCTCAGTTCAAGTCCCATACTGGAAGTCTCTGGTCCCCAGTCCCCAGGGCAACCCCCAGCATGGGGCCTTAGGCTGAAAAACACTTGTCACATGTGTGCCTATTGACCCTGGATCAGAAAGCTCTTGGGAACCATAGTTGCCATCGGTGGTGGTTAGTTTTAGTTGTCAATGTGACAGACTCTACAGTCACCCGGGAAGAGTCTCAGTGGGGATTGTATGTATCAGGTGGGCCTGTGGGCATGGCTGAGGGATTGTCTTGATTATGAATTGATGTGAGACGACACAGCCTGAAAGTGGGCATCAGCTGGGTTTAGGATGGATTACACATGAATGAGTAGAGAGAGCTGCTGAGCAGTGGGTATGCATACATCCATCCCTTTTGTGTTCTTGACTATGGCTGGGACTAGCCGCTTGAGTCCCTACCTGACTACCCCACAATGATGGACTAAGCCCTCTCTCCCTCAAAGTTGCTTTTCTCAAGGTATTTTTTCACAGCAACAGAAGCAGAACTGGACCACCATCTCTTATCTCTGCTCACTGATAGCTGCGGACTGAAATGCCAGGGAGGGGTTCTTGGGGCTGAAGATCTTGCTGGGACCCTCGGAGCACATGGTAAAGAATCCCTTAGCTCAATATGAAGAATCTGGCAGGGTGTGAACAGTGCATGGAGAGAACTTTATGCCCAGTTCTACCAGCCAGCCACTTTCCCTACATTTCCCATTCCCTGCTCAACAACTCAAGGAAAGGGATTAAGACCCCACCTTTCTGCCACACTGGGAAGCCTGTGTGAGAGCCTGTTTCAGGGGCCTGCCTTTGTTAGGACTCAGAACTGTAACAGTCTTGGGAAGAGAGAAGACTGCAGTGCCAGTCTTCTGAGAGAAGAATCTCACGTTGAAATAATGAAAGGGCTGGAACCTGGTGCCAGCCAGGAGGAACTTCTCTCTCAGAGAGATTCCAATACCACACTGGCAACTTGTCAACCATCTTACAAGTGTGACTAGAGGAGGCATTGATGGCTCAGTGACGAGTGGGACCTGAGTGGGACTACAACATCTGACCGAGACTGCTAAATATGCACACCCCTTGCAGTCCATTTAAAACTGAATCTCAGGGGCTGGAGAGATGCTCAGTGGTTAAACATATTGGATACTCTTCCAGAGACCAAGGTTTGGTTCCCAGCATCCACATGGTGGCCAATCTTTTGTAACTCTAGTTCTAGGTGATCTGATGCCCTTCTCTGGACTCTGTGGACGATAGGCATGTACATGTAGTATAGAGACATACACACAAGCAAAACATTCATACACAAAAATTACAAAATACTTTTAAAAATTTAATCCAAACTTTATGTCCATGCCTGGAAGACAGACTCTGAGGTCACTGAAGCTCTTTGTCATCTTCCCAATATGGCCACATTAATAAATCTTTTTCTGTGTTCACTATTATTTGTCTGTGTAATTGGGGACTGACAGCAGAGCCCAGCTTATCGGTCCTGTCAGGGACCACACTTGGGCCCTAAGGTCTCAGATAACAAATCTTAGGAAACGATGGAGACTGTTAATGATACACTGTCCCAGGCTTTTCCCATTTGCTCAAGGTACCCAGAAGCTAAGCCAGTATCTGGACACCTGTCTCTCCTCCCCCTATGAGTTTCAGCAGCCATTCTGTCCTACCTGGAGGCCCCTAAGACCCCTACAGCCAGTCTGACACCTTCAGTCGTTTCACTTAGGACGGGACCTCAGGAATGGCCAGGAAAAGCAGCATGTGGAGCCACCAAGGATGGCAGCCCTGCAGGAGCGCCCTCCCTTCTCAGGGTGCATTCCTGGAAAGAGCTGACTGACAGGAAAGTCTCAGCTAGGGATTTCCATCACCCTGGAAAGAAAGGGCAGCCCTGAGTAACTGCGACTGTAAAAGAAAGTTCTTCAGAGAGCACATCCTTCAGCCCTCAGGGGAATGGTCCACCTGGCCAGCAGAGACCTGGAAAGGCTTCAGATCCTCAGACAGGAAGCAGTAACATAAGATATCTGCACAAGTTCAAGTCTTTGGCCGTCTAGCTGGAGACATGAGTCAGGGTCAGGGAACAGGTGCCAATCCGGGGGCAGGGGGCACTAGGTAGGTAGAAACACATCCAGCCTCGCACGTCTACACGTGCAGATCCAGGAGGTAGGGGTGGTGGATCTGAGGAGTGGAGCTGGAGGCAGGACCGCAGGAGGGAGGGTCTGCTTGGAGCCTCTGCAAGGAAGAGACTAACACCAGCCCAAGTTAGGCCGATGTGAGTGAGAGACACCAGTAAGGAGGTGACAGGAGAGAGACGGACGCCTGGAAGGCAGATGAAGGCAGCTAGCCAGTGACACGGGAGTTCTCTCACTGGACCAAAAGATGAGCCGAAGCAACAAACCTGCTACCTTGGTACTGAAGGAGCCTCAGTTTCCCCATCTGTGGCTTTCTAGTGGAAGATCACCTGTTCAAACCAGGTTCTTCCAAAAGTCATTCCCTCAAGTGACCCCAGTCACAGGCTGAAAGATGACAGAGACAGAGGCTGGAGAAGAAGAGGCAATGGGGGTAAGATCTGTCTGATACTAGAGAACCCAGAGCCAGGTTGGGGCAGGGGTGGAGGGACACCCACCCCGGGGACAGTTGTCTTGATGGCAGCTGCAGCCCTGGTGCAGGGAGGGTTAAGCATTTTGCAGTTCCCATCTGCCCTGGGCTGGCATGGCCTCCCACATTTACGTCTTCTGAAAAATATTCAGCCTGTAGCCTGTCTCATTTGGTGCTCCAGGCCCTCCCCCTCCCCCTCCCTCGGCCCAAGCCAAGAGGAAGGTCAGGGGACTTTGGGAAACGGGAAACTCCAAAACTCCGGAATCTGGAAGAAGGGTCAGTGGGGAAAGGCGGGGCTGTGGGGACCAAAAGAGAGAAAAGGGAGATGAGAGGGAACAGCTTCCAGGAAGCTGCTCCAGGGACCACACAGGGAAAGGCTTTGCTGGAGCAATAAACCCGGTATTTTTCAAGGTACCAGAGAGGGGCTGGGATTTGGAGGATGAAGGGAAGACCCAGAGGGAAGAGAAAATGGCTCAGAAAGAGGCCATAGTGGCCTTAGCCAGCCAGACTACTTCCTGGGGCTATTGGCAGGGAACTCTAAAACTTTGCTGGCACTAGGAAACAAGGCCTTGCAGAGTGGGAAGGGCTAGTTGGATTCCCAGTGGAGATTCAGAAAGGGCCACTTCTCCGGGCCCCAGGAATAGGTCAGGGGAGAAGGTGACCCCCACCCCCACCCCAGCTCTAAGAGCTGAAGACCATACACCATCTTTGCAGGACCAGAAGGCCTGCGGTGACGCCATGAAGCGCCTGCTGATCTCCCTGGCCTTATGGCTGGGCGTGGTGGGCATAGATGGGACGGAGCTGGAGCTCAGCGAGACACAGCGCAGGGGCTTACAGGTGGCCCTGGAGGAGTTCCACAAACACCCACCCGTGCAGTGGGCCTTCCAAGAGGTCGGGGTGGACAGCGCTGACGACATGGTTAGTGCTGTGACTGCGTAGGGGACGGAGGGCTGCAGCCCTGGAGACAAGGGAACTCCCAGAAAGTTTCCTGGGAGAGGCCACCAGGCAGCCATCCTCCCAGGCTGTGCCAACTCTAAGTTACGGTGTTTGGGGGAGGAGAGGAATTACCTGCTGGCCTTCTTGTCTGTCTGTCTGTCTGTCTGTAGCTCTTCTCAGCCGGCACCTTTGTGAAGTTGGAATTTAAGCTCCAGCAGACCAGCTGCCTCAAGAAGGACTGGAAAAAACCCGAGTGCAAAATCAAACCAAACGGGGTGAGTGAAGGGCTCTTTTGATGGGAACAGCTGCCTGGGTATGAACTGGAGCCCAGAGAAGCCCTATGCTCATCACTGGGGGCTGTCTGCGAGGAAGAGGGAAATTTCTCCCTCAGAGTGGGACCACCGATTAGCTCCTCCTAAAGAGCTTCTCTATGGAGCTTATCCTGTGCCTCGACCAGACTATGGCCGATTCGCTGCAGGGTTTCACAGTAATCAGCCTCCCTAAGGGGGCACTGCTGCTATGGCGTGACCTCTGGGCTGAAGGTACAGCATTTTGGGTTAAGGTCCTTACTCTCTAACTAACAGCTTTGTGGGTCACTGAAGGTCTTGGTTCCCTCCATCAGGTAAGGGAAGGGACTGGATTATACTGGTGATTTACAAGATCCTGGTTCCAGGACCTTTTGTCCAAATTAAATCTTAGGGGGGAATGTAAATATTAGGACAAGGTGGTAAGGGCCCTTGCTGTGCTAGCATGAGGACCTAAGTTTGAATCCCCAGCACCTATATGAAAACAGCTGGGCGTGGTCACACATGCCCAGAACTCCTGCACAGCAGTGTGCAGAGGGTACTCAAGGCTGGCTGGCTGCCAGGCTAATTCCGGGTTCAGTGAGAGATTTTGTCTCAAGGGAATGAAAAAGAGTGACATAGCAGGACACCCAGACGTCCTTGTCTGACACAGAGAGCGCGTGCGCACGCACACACACACACACCCCAGAGAGAAACAGAGACAGACACCATCTGGGGAGGATTCTTGCCTTTATACATGTTTGCACATTCACACAGGGACTTGTGAATACACCCATGCAGAATACGGCGTATGAGCAGTAGACATACGCATGCTCACACAAGAATGATTCCTACACAAGTCCTGTAGTCTGCAGGCAAGGCAGGGTAGTATACACTTGAAATTCCAGCATTGGGGAGGTCAAAGCAGGTGAACCACAAGTTCTAGATCAGTCTGGGCTGCTTCTTAAGACCATGCCCAAAGAAGAGAACTTCTAAAGATCTCCTACCCCAGGGTGGACTGCATGTCCAGCTGGCTTGCCTCTCCCCTTACCCCTTGGGTTAGTTATATTTCTGTTGCTGTGATAAAACACAATGACCCAAACCAACCAGTAGGAAAGCTTTATTTCGCCTCACAGTTCCAGAGGGATTAAAGTGCATCGTGGCAGGGAGATGTGTCTACCAGCAGGCCCCGCATCCAGAGCAAGAATCCGAGAGCTCACATCCTCAAAAGCAAGCAGGAAGCAGAAAGAGGATTGGGAGTGGTGTAAGGCTTTAAACTCTCAAAGCCTACCCCAGTGACACATTTCCCCATCAAAGTCAAACCTATCCGTCCCGAAACAGCCACCAATCAGAGACCAAGTGTTCGAATATCTGAACCTATCGGGCACATTCTCACCCAAACCACTATCTCCCTCCACTCTAGAGAATGCCAAGGCCAGTCCCCACCTGACCCTCATGGTGTCCTCACTCCTTTTCCCTTCTCTCATACTCTCCACCAGAGAAAGCGGAAATGCCTGGCCTGCATCAAATTGGACCCCAAGGGTAAAGTTCTGGGCCGGATGGTCCACTGTCCAATACTGAGGCAAGGGCCTGAGGTAAGAAGGAACAGAGGTGAGGGAGGGGGCGGGAGCAGCCCACACCTAGGTCTGTGGGATAAGTACCGGAAGATGGAAGGAGAGTGGGGCGGGGTTGGCTGAGACACTTCCCAGGGCTGCGGTGGTGCCTCTCCTCCTGGGCACTGCTGCAGCAGACACTGGTCCCGGCAGGAGCCTCAGGAGCCTCAGGAGGCCCAGTGCACTAGGGTAGCCCAGGCTGGTGAGGACCCCCGCAGCTACTTCTTCCCTGGACAGTTTGCCTTCTCCAAGTCCCTGCAGCCCAAGTAAGCCCTGCACAGGTAGGTTACTGGAGGGAGAGAGCCCTGGCATGAAAACTGGACTGAGGGAGGCAGAGAAGAGGGGTGCGAAACTTGGCTGAAAGCTAAGATGAGACCAAAACAATCTCGCTCACACTCAATCTGGTTTTCCCTTCTTCTCTAGAACTCCATCTCCCTGTGCAGCTGTGGCAGCACCCAGTGGAAGCACACCGGCTCCCAAAGATGAAATATTCCAAGCTAATAAAATCGCTGAGTCTGTTCACTTCCAACCTTGTGTTGTTGCTCTTCCTGCAGCTCAACCTGCACATATAAGAAAAGCTCAAAGGTTGGGTGTATAAGTGAGTCCCCACACTTCCTGCCTAGTTCAGGAAGGAGCACACAGGGTGAGTGTAGAATCTCCTACAGGACCAAAACAGAGGCATGGAAGCCTGTACTTTTGCTGAGGAAGAGACAAGAAATGATACAAATGAGCAGAGAACTATTTAATAAGAGTTAGCAGGTGGCAAGTAATCTTACCCAGAAAGCCTCAGGCTTGGCACTTGGGAGAGCCCGGGCTCAGCATGCCCTTGGGCCTGGCTGCAGCATTTGCCAGATAGTGAGGGGAATCTCCTATACCTGCTAGAGGCCACCCGGAAAGCATGTCCCTGCTCGCGTGGAAGGAGGGAAGGAAGTGTCCTTGGGGAGATGCAGGAGTTAGGATGCTCTCAAGAAAGGGATAAATGAACAACCTACTTTGCAGGGTCAGTGACCAGAGAAAACCAGAGAGGCAAGGGCATGGGGTAGGAAAGAGATGTAGGCAACATCACTACGATGAGAATACCTGGGCTGTGAGGCACATTCAGAAGACAAAGGAAGAGGTGGTTTCTGCCGGGCTCAGAGCCTGCTGGGCCTGGGCCAAGCAGTCACCGGCCTGGCGGTCCAGGTCAAGGCATTCCTGCAGTGTGTCCTGGAACTGCCTGCAGGCCTCTTCCAAAATGGAGCTGTTCTGCATGGGCCAGGATTCCCAGTAGTCAGGATCCACCCATGGCTGGGCCTCTATTGCTCTGGGGCCTGGGCTGGAGCTGGGGCGCAAGGAACTGTCCAGGTCTCGGCATAACTGGTACAGCTCACTGCCCTGCCCACTCACACGTTCCCCATCTATGACTTTGAGACCAGGCAGCAGCTCTCGAACCACAGCCCAGTAGGAGGGACTGGCACACAGCGGGTTGCTGAGCCGGGCCAAAGGGTCCCGGAGCCTCAGGTGCTCCAAGGCCTGCAGCCCAGCCAGACACTGCAGCTGGCTAGGAGTAGCCAGCAGGTTACCAGCAACATTGAGGCTCTGCAGGTTGTCACAGGCTGCCAGTGGCTCCAGCCCTGTGAGCCGATTATTGGAGACATTGAGCACAGCCAGCTGGCGCAGGGATGCCAGTGGGCCCAGGTGGGTAAGTGCGTTGCCCGATAGGTCAAGCCACTCAAGGTTCAGGCACTCCCCCAAACAGCCCAGGTCCAGCAGCCCCAAACCCCGAAGTTTCAGCAACAGGATGGAATCAAGGGCAAACTCTCCAGAGCGGGACTTCAGCAGCTGGGGTGTGATGCTCAGCACCTCGGTCTCTCCTGGCTTCTCTCCAGGAGGCTCCATGATACGGACGATTCAGATGGCCTGGCCCTGGCAGTGCTTAGAGTCACAGGGATGTGGTGTCTCTGGGGATCAGCCAGCTGCTCTCCCTCATCTCTGCTGGGGCCCTAAGAGAGAGAGAGAGAGAGAGTCAGGCCAGCCTCTCCTGAGCATCTGTGTCCTGTGCTACAGGGAACAGCAGGATGCCATGCAGAGTATGAAATCCTTGTGCTCACAGAAACCAGAAAATGTTAAACACTGAGAGAGAGAGAGAGAGAGAGAGAGAGAGAGAGAGAGAGAGAGAGAGAGAGAGAGAGAGACCTGTTTTGTGCTCAGAGGGCTGGGAATGGAAGTGATTAACAGCCTAGGCGACCTCTGTGTTATCTGTATGACCAAGATCACACCAGATCCTCCCTTGGGACCTTAAGATGACGCATGTATTCTATCTACAGAACCCATCTTTAGGGAAGAGGTGACACATACTTTGAAAGGAGTTTCAATGTAATTATGCCCTAAACTTTATTGTGCAAATGAGATTGTTACACCAGAAAACTTTTTTCCAAATTATACTGTACTCAAAAATGCCTAAAGTAAACTGCCTGGTGCTGGACTCCAGAGGTTTGAACCAACACCGGCTACTGAATCATGCTAAACTGCACTTTCTTCTGCCTCACATGCATACTTTCTGGCCATGGTGTTTGCAGAGGCCCCCACAATGGCAGACCCACCAGCCTTGATTCTTGGAGCGAATGGCCAAGAGCCAGGCAAGGCCTGAGGCCATCTAAGCAACAGGGCAGGACACAGCCCCAGCCTGGGGAAGAGGCTCTGGCTCACTCCAGTGGTCACATCCATACTATATGAAGCTTAGGACCCATATCGCCAGTTTGGCTCGAATCTGGACTTCAAACAAAAATATTGATACTTGACTTTTCTAGTAACTATTATGATATACCTTTATTAACCCTAAGAAGTTCCTTTTGGAAAAGTTAAATTTTTTTACTGACTGGCAGGTTTATTGATATTTTTGAGACAGGGTCTCCTGTAACCCAAGCTGGCTTTGAATTCTTAGTCCCCTGCTCTCCTCCAGGCCACCCCACCCCTGAGAACTAGGATTACAGGCTTATATCACCACTCCTGGCTTAGATTTATTTTTAAATAGACAACAGGTAATTACCACCTTCCAGGCATGCAGACCCAATGAGAATGTGCTGTAACTTCTTTCATTCACTCAAAAATGTTAGTTGCATCCTCCCAACATTATCACTAAAATTAAAATGATACCCAGAGTATGCAGACCAACTTATACCTCTGGCCAGAGCTCTAAGGCCTGAGAGGTAGGTAGGCATTTAGTCCTAGGCACAGAGGAAATTCAAGTCAAGAGAGATAGAGCAGGGTGCGGTGAGCTGGCTTCACACTGTTGCTCCAACTCCAGGCAACCACTATCCCATGCCCCGAGCTCCCCAACCAGTGCCTCTGCTTCCACATCACTTCTCAGGTCAGCATGCAGGCAGCGATCACCGTGTGCTGGACAGCACAGTGCAGCTGAAGGTACGGCATCACAGCCCAAAAGGGCAGGCTGGGGGAGGTGAAGAAGTCCAGGAAGCCATTTTGGAGCAAGGAGCAGGAGTGCTTAATACAGTTCTGAAATGTGGGGGAGGGCAAGCGTGTCATCGGTGGCTGTGGGACAGTGAGCCCGTGTGTGTGTGTGTGTGTGTGTGTGTGTGTGTGTGTGTGTGTGTGTGTGTGTGTGTGATCACTGTGAGGAGGAGTCTGCCTGTGGGGGAGGGACAATGTTGATGCTGCCCAGAGGACAAAGTTCACTCGGATAGAAAAACGAAAGCAGGCTTCATTCCAAATACCATGCCCAAACTGCAGACTCTGGCCGGCCACACTCAGGAGTCTGAGCTAGATGGGTAGTTACACCTACAAAGAACATTAGGACACTGCCAGTGCCAGTGCCGCTCAGAGCCTGTGGGTGGAAGGCTCTGGGGACTCCCAAGACTAAGTTCGCATGAGCAACACCACTTAGTGTCCTCTCCTCCAAGGAAAGCAGGCTCGGAGCACCATCCATCAGTGATGGCTACTCATTGGCACTGTCTTTAAGAGCTCCTCACCAACGATCTGACGAGGCTAGGCATGGATCTCGCACACCCTCTCAACAGTACATCTGAGGAGGGTATTCTTGTCTTCATGTTAGTCATTCCTGTCAGCTCACTAGCCTGTAACACTCCAGTCCTCTGGGCCCTGGACTCTCTGAAGAGCTTGGAGGAGACAAAGAGTGTGAGACTGGGCTACATGGCAGTTCTGTGATGCTGTATGCCCAGGACCGTGCATGCAGCTACCTAGGGCTATATATGCCATCCTGCTGTCCCTGACTGCTGTGGGGGAAGGCAGGGTCAAAGCCAGGAGAAAGCTGCTCAGCTGTCCCCAGTACCAACTGTGTCAGTGTCTCCTGTCCCCTCCAGGGGTGGGACATCTGCGTATCAGGTAACGCACCACCGCAGGGCCAGCAGCACTGGCAGACAAGCCCTCCTGCTGCACCCACTGTCCCTGTCACCCCCTCACCTGGGATGCCCACAGCTGGACCCCTTTCCCACTCAGGCCCTTGCTTACTGACCAGCCAGGACTAAGATGTGCGAGCACCCCTGAGGTTTACATTGCCTGACAGCAGTCTGAAGCCCAACACAGGAGACGCAGCTGGTATTAAGTCAATGAAACAAACAAAACCTCTCGATGTCTGGAATGGGCTTGGTCTGGGGAATGTGGGGCATAAGCAACCTCTGAGTTCCTTCCTTTCTGATTAGACATTTCAAGCCGGGGGCTCCTAAAGGCTTGGCCCAGGCCCTGACTTCTTCCTCATGCCAGGACACAAGAGCTTTTTCATATACACTTTTTTCCCCCGAGACAGGGTTTCTCTGTGTAACAGCCCCTGGCTGTCCTGGAACTCACTTTGTAGATCAGGGTGGCCTGGAACTCACAGAGATCTGCCTGCCCCTGCCTCCTGAGTGCTGAGATTAAAGGTGTGCGCCACCACCGCCCAAACTTTCATATACTTCTTAAGGTGCCAGGTGGACTGTGGTGGTTTGAATGGAAATGGCCCCCACAGGCTTATGGGGAGCAGCACTATTAGGAGGTGTGGCCTTGTTGGGGGGATTGTGTCACTGAGGGTGGGCTTTGAGGTTTGAGATGCCAAAGCCAGGCCCAGTGTCCCTCTCTCTCTTCCTGCTGCCTATGGGTCCAGATGTAGGACTCTCAGCTCCTTTTCCAGCGCCACGTCTGCCTGCACGCCACTACGCTTCCCATCACGATGATAATGGACTAGACCTCTGAACCTGTAAGCCAGCCCCAATTAAATGCTTTCCACTGTAAGAGTTGTCGTGGTCATGGTGTCTCTTCAGCAACAGTAACCATGACTAAGACAGGGACCATGAGGATGTCAGCTTGCCCTGTCTCCGCATCTTCCCTAGAATGGTTTACCTCCAACCTGTCATGACTAGTCACTTGGGAAAGCTGAAGGAAGGGCTGGACAGTCAGGTTAGAGGAGGCCTGGCCAACAGTGAGCAGCCAAGGCTTGTCTTCTTCACTGCCTTCTCCCCTGCCTCTCTCCATTCCCACACCTCTGCCTGGACACCTTCTTCTCAGGTGGACAGGCACAAGTTTGCAGCCATGGGTTCTGGAGCCTCCTTTTGGCTAACTCTACCCATATGGCCAGCACTTCACCTGGGAAGTAGTGATTTCTCTAAAGAACATGTTTTTCTCTTCCCAATGTAGGCAGCTGGGTCAAGGGAACCTTCTCCCTGCTTCTCCAGGAAAACTTGGTCAGCTACGGGACCAATGTGCCACTTGGTAGGGAGCAAGGGCTTCTTCTTCGTAAGGACAAGTCTTTTTCATGCTTTTTTCCAGGAGCAAGAGGTCCTGATTTTCCCCCTTGTATTCACAAGGTCATCTTTATGCCCAGGAAATCCATTTACCCTGTCTTTGACAGGTCCTCCCTCAGCCCAGCTAAGTCTAAGGGGAGGTCTTGGTAGCTCTGGTGTTGAAGTCAGGCCTGGGATAAGCTAGGGTGGCAGCTGGGTTCTTGGGTCTGGTCACAGGAGAGTTGGTGCTCACAGCAGGGTCTTCCTGTCCCAATGATCCTGGGAGTGTCATCTCTAGGGTGACTTATCTTTTCCCATTTCAATATGCTTGGAAACTTGGGAGAATGAGAAGATGAGCCCAGGCAGCAAGGCAATATGAAAATAATGCCTCTCAGTCACCCTCTGTAATTCTGGGGACTTCAAGGCCAGAGGCCAGACAAGAAAGAGAACCAAAGAGCATGAGGCAGTGAAATACACAAACGACAGTGAGAAGCAACCTCAGGACACAACTCCTCGGCGAAGTGTGGTTCTATTCTTCCAGCTGGGTCTCATGGTCCCCTGCACACTGGGCCTGTGTTCATTATTTTTGCCAACTAACTGTTCTTTTTCCTTCAGTGTCTGAGGCCAGAGGCACTTGATCTTTTTGTTTTGTGGACAAAGCATGCAAAGGTCCTGTGGTCATTCACTAACTAACAGAGCCATGCTGATGGAGACTAACCTCAGGAGTGAGGAGTGTTTCTGGGGCTGCAGAACTCCAGATCTCTGGATCCTGAGCACCTGGGCTGCTCTTGGTACCAAGAGACCAGAGACAATGTGCTACGTGACTCACCACCTGTTAAATTAGCAGCTAGCCTGCAGAGTCCTAGGCTAGAGGCTTTGCTCATGTCCTCTGCAGTTCCTTCTCTGGAGGTCAGCTGTGAAAAGTCACAGGACAGTGATGCTCTCCAGGAGCTGGACCGGAGGTATCTGTGGTGATATTTTGTTTGTGCTCTAATCAATTAAGCTTGCCTGGAGATCAGAGTATGGAGCTAGCCACTAGAGGCCGGGCAGTGGTGGCACACACCTTTAATCCCAGCACTTGGGATCTCATGCCTTTGTTCCTAGTACTTGGGAAGCACACGCCTTTAATCCCAGCATTTGGGAGGAGGAAACAGGAAGTGATATTGGTTGGGCAGAGAGAAGTGATAAGGTGGGGTGGAGCTGGCCCCCCTTTCAGACTCAGGATTCCTAGAGGTAAGAAGTCTTTCTAGTGGCTGGTTGCTTTGCTTCTCTGATCTTTCAGCTTTCACCCTGATATTTGACTCTGGATTTTTATTATTAAGACCAATTAAAATTTGCACTACAGGTATCCTTTCTCATGTTCCTTTCTGTGTCACACATCCCCAGAGGGCTGCTTATTCCTTTACTTCCCACACCTGTCAATCCTACTTCTCTATGGCTCTTGCCCAGGCCTGCAGTGACCACCTTGGCACCAACTTAATGGGCTTTTCTGCAACACCCACCAGGAGTGCCTGCCTGCTTCCACCCTTTGGAATGTCCTTCGTCTTCCATCACAGACTACCACATTTTTTGTACTTCCTGCCATTTCTGACCCCTCAGTTCCTTATCTGGTCTCCTCTCCTCTAAGCTGCCTCCATGGGCCTATTGCTGGACAGTCTCCAGGATGCTCTACTCATCACCCACCATCAGACCTGGGTTCACAACTCTCTCTTCAGTGCCAGTCACTCTTTCTGCATCAACTCCATCTTGGTACAGGGATAACCAGCCTCCCAGATGCTCAAGTCTAACACCTGGGTGTGGTCTTCAACTCCACCTCCCTTGATCATTTCCCTGGACATTAGGTCAAGAAGTCAGGAGACACAGGATGAAAGAAAAAGACAGAAAAGAATCTAGTGACCCAGGATATGTTAGCCCGGAAGAGAAAAGACTCAGAGGAAGACAACATAGTGTGAGCACCCAGCAACTGGTGAGCTGCACCTCTTCATGGAAGAAGATGATATTGCACAGGAAGATGATATTGCACAGGAAGATTAAAATCCAAAGCCTGCACACTGACACAGAGTGCTATGGATGATTGATTGATAAATGAAACACTGATTGGTCAGTAGCCAGGCAGGAAGTATAGGTGCGACTAGCAGAGAGAATTGAGAGAACAGGAAGGCAAAGAGGAGGAGACGCCAGCCTGCCATCCAGGGAGCATCATGTAAAGGCAGCAGGTAAAGCCACGGAACACGTGGCGACATATAGATTAACAGAAATGGGCTGAGTATAAGAGTAAGAGCTAGACAATGGTAGGCCTTAGCTAATGGCTGAGCAGTTTAAATAATATAAGCGTCTGTATGTTTATTTTATAAGTGGGCTACGGGACTGCAGGGGCTTGGCAGGACCCAGACAGAAAAACTCTAGCTACTCGGAGGAGTGTCAAACACTGCAGATGACTGGAGATGGCAGGGCAGTTTCTAAGAGGCAACAGATAAGTCAATTGAGATAGCTCTGACACACTCCTGGGAGAAGGCTCAGAGGATTAAGAGTCAATGGCTTTGAGCCTGTCTCATAGAACTCAACCAGCCACCACAATGAATGAAGGTCCATGAGAGGTGACACTTGTAGAAGTGGGCAGAACTATGAGTGAGTGCGAAAGACCGTCCTTAGCCCAGAACTATTCTGAAATGCCAGAAGTGAGGAAATTTACCTCAGATCTTACTTTATGACCAAAGAACCTGAGTCCGAGCCTCCAAAAACTGTCACTGAAGATAGCACAAGGCATTAAAACTAGGCAACAGTACCAACAGTAGTCTAGAAAAGGGAAAAAAATCTGCCTATCAGAGCTGCAGCACAGAGCTCATCACAAAACCTCCATCCATAGACCTAGGAGCCACTGGGGCACAAACCCTGGTCTCCTAATTCCTGGTCCTGGGTAGGTGCTCTTGGATCCACTCACTTGTTTAGCAAAATATGCATGAAATACCATGTTTACCAAAATATGCATGACCCTCAAGACACACATATGGGCAGCGGGAATGGTAGCACATGCCTGTAACTGTAGCTCTTAAGGATTAAAGCTCCTGATCCAATCATCCAAAGTTGACAACTTTACAAGACAGAACCCTGCTGTTTGAGTGAGAGACTCCATACAGTATCTTTAGTCTGAAGCACCTCCTGGGAAGCCTCCTTGCCTCAGTGCTTCGCTTCACTCTTTCATGCTTGAAATCACAACATGCCTGTAACTGGAACGCTTGGGAGGCAGAGGCAGAAGGAGCTCAGTTATAGGTTAGCCTGGACTAAGCATTTTTTTTTAAAGTAGTGGAAGGGGGAGATGGTACACCTCAGTTGTAGAGTGCTTCCCTGGTATATGCAACACCCTGGGTTCAATCTCCAGCACCAAAAAAATAAGTACAAGAGTGACTGTCTGGTTGACAAGCTCAAGAAAACTTAGAAATGATGACCTGGAGATATTAACAGCAAACCTCTCACTCATCTAGCATGTACAGGGCCTTGGGTTCAATCATCAGCAACACCAAAAAAAAAAAAAAAAAAGAAAAAACTTACACACCTCACCCGGAAGAGTGAGGACCACTGAAAAGCCATTCAGGGGTAGATTATCCAGGGCTGGGAAGCAGAGGAGATGGGACAAAGAGACTCCATGGAAATCCTATTTACTCACAAAGGTCTGTCCAGACTAACTGAGCTTGAGGTTCTTTTTGAACAAATCCTCAGGCATACTTTTACAGAAGATGAGAAGCCCCAGGAGTGGAGGGTGGCTGCCTGGATAAGGCTGACAATATGGGGGACGAAGGATGAACAGACACCAACGGTGACTGAAACACAAAGCGAGAAACAGAAGAAAACTTTAAAAAGCAATTCTAGGGAACCAAGGAGAGAGAATTTTCAGAAAGATAGCCTCGGTAACTGATGATGGAGCCTGGGCACTGCAGTAAGAAGTGTGGCAGAGGCCGTTTTAGAGGGGGACCTACTCCAGGACCTCCTCAGACACCGAAGTCTTTATATCAAAGGACACTGTACAGAACCCACACATCCTCCTCTACACTTTAAACCATCTCTGTATCACCAGTGAAGTTGAGAAGTTGTATTGCTCTGGACTCAGAACAAGAAAAAAGTCTGTGTATGTTTGGTATACTTGTTTCTAGTTTGTTGTTGTTGTTTCTGAACAAGTTTAGTCCCGATGGTTACAGAACTTATGGATGAAAAACCTTTGGCAGGTCCTCTGGAGTGCTGAGTATACTCAGAATGCTGGACGGGCAGTGGGAGGGGAAGGGCTTGGCAGTGTTTCTCTAGTGGAGAACAGGTGCCTGGGAAAATGGAAGTCAAATATACTGGAAAGAGGTGAAATCAAAGGTGAGTCACTTGGGAAAGGTTTGGGGTGCATGGAAACAGCAAGGACTCTTATTTCTGACAGACAAGGAAGCAGAATGGGTCTGCAGGCAGGCAATTCAATGAAGGGATGGCGGATGGGGAACTGAAACAGTGTATTGTCCAAAGCCTATCAATTCCTCAGGGAAGCCACATAATTGTAAAACCTGCAACCTACAGATGAACAATCTTCTGGCATGTTCACCTGGACTAGGAGATGCCTCTGCTCATACCAGGTGTTGTCTGGTTAGATTATGACGTTCTCTTTATTATTCTGCCAATCGTTCCCAGGAGCATGCTCAGAAGGGACCTTGCCTCCTAATTCTACCTCGTTGCACCCCACCAGCCGTGTTCAGCTCAACTCACCCTGGGCATTCCACAGTTCCACTGCATACAAACTTGCCAGCCTCCTCTCTCCCATCTTTCTACTAAAAGAAGGGTGTGCTATGGTCTCTCACCCCAACCGAGGTTTTGACCATTTGCTGAGAGATGTTTTAAATAACACTCAACCATCCTTTGAGCTCACACTAGCAAAAAAACATGGAATAGTTTCCTGCTGGAAGACTACACTTCCCAGCTTCCCTAGTGGGCTACCGAAAGTCATTTCCACCCATTTCTGCCCCTCCTAAGAGGCTGCATCCCATGTTCCTCTGTAGGCATTTTTACTATCTGCATATGTGGGTGACAAAATGCTCCCTCGCCGTGAATAAACGTGGCCCCGAAAAGTCAGACCAAGCCTTTCTTCCCGCTTTGCTCTCTCTCTACAGCTGCTCTTTTTAAATAATCTATGACACTAGCAGAACCCTTGTTGCTATGTACACCCAGATGCTGTGATCGTGGGCTAGGGCGACCACGGCTGCACCCACCTCACGGGACCGTCACCGGTTAAGGCGGTTCTGTCTGTCATTACTCAGAGCAGTTCCGGGCGTTGAGGGAGTGACCACTCATAGCTGGCGGTTCCGGAAGGATCGGGCCTCCCGGGGCACACAGAGCGCGGCGCTACTGCACTTCCGGCGCAGGCCCAGCCTACTCCGGAACCCGCGAGTGGCCGGAAGGGGCGGGGCCCCGTCGTGCGGAGACCGGGCTGCGTCCGAGGGAAGGGCTGCGTCTGGCTGGGTGTACGGGTTACGCAGATAGTGGGCCAGAGAAAATTCCAGTTCTCTGGTTTGGAGGCCGCGGGCAGTGGTGCGGGGGGATTTTGTTTCTGTTAATAAGTTTGGTCATTAGTTCATTTAGCGGTGCGGCGTTGGGGAGGGCATTGATAGGTCCTTAACGGATACGTGTTCGGTGACGTTCTGTGTGCCCGACCGCAGGCCGGTGGTGACCTAGATTTTCTACTCCGTTAAATGGTGCCCGGTGCGTGCTCCCCAACCCGCCCGTGGTGGTGCGGTCATGCTCACCGCTTTGCACTGCAGACAAAAGGCGCCGCAATGACGACAAGAAGGACCCCCTCTTGGAAACCTTACCCATACTTTCAGAAAAACTACCTCAGAGTGTTTCCTGAGACAAAGGTGCACTGCCTGGTGATGCTCCCAGAGGCCTTGCACCCAGCCAGGGACGTTACCAGCGCAAACTGCCACCTTTGCAAATGACATTGTCCAAGGGATAAAGAAGTCACCCTGACTGGACGCAGGGGAGAATCTTTCCCTTTGGAATTGGAGATTTCTTGGAGATTTCTACATTGGTCCGGGAGCTAGGATTTTCCATCTCCTGATGCTCCCCCCCTGCCCTCAGACAAAGCAATTCCAGGTCACCCCTCGAGCCTGGGCTGGCAAAGTATAGACATTTTTGTTTTGATCCCATTTGAACCTCTCCGCGTGATGGACCAGCCTAAATCAATTTTAAGATTAGAAGCCATCTTGTTACGAGGTCAAAATAAGTTCGCTCTTGTTTTCTGTAAAACTTAAGTGTAACCATGTCTTGACCTATTTTCTAGAGATGTTCCACCAAGTTCCTATGTAACTCAAATCCTTGGAAACCCCCTAGCCTTGCAGTTTGGAGGCTATAGAAAAACCTCATTTTTCCTGTGTCCAGTGTTACTCTCTCAAATTCCGCTTTAGGGAGATAGCCCTGTCTGACAGAAATAAAGCTTGCATAATTCGACCAGAAAATTTGGGTTGTTGGTCTTTATAGTCTTGTACAGTGGGATTAACTCATGCTTCAGAAATGGGAGTGCTTATTTCTCCATTATACATCACATGGCATGTTAGAGTAAGAAATGTTAAGGGTGCTAAGGAAAAACTGTCCAAAATACCTCTTAAGCTGGGCGGTGGTGGTACGCCTTTAATCCCAGCACTCGGGAGGTAGAGACAGGAGGATCTCTGTGAGTTCAAGGCCAGCTTGGGCTACAGAGCAGGTTCCAGAACAGGCAGGGTGGTTACACAGAGACACACTTGGTTACACAGAGAAATACCACCCCCACACACACACACATAAAACCCCTCTTATGACAGGAAGGAAAACTATTCAAGAAGAAACTACTGTTGAGAATAAAGATTTCGATGGTGAAGTACTTAGGCGTGAGGCCCTGGCTTCCAGCCTCGCACCACCATGACAGTTGGTGTTGCAGTAGGGGAGAGTGGGTGGCCACACTCGGCTCCTAACACAGCTAGGACAGTGGGAGAATTATAGCCCAGAAGCAGGAGTGGAGTCTGTGCCTAGAAAAAAACCAAGTGCAAAAACACGCTCTCAAACATACTTAGACATTCTTGTTTCCTGGCAACACCAGCCCATTCTCTCATGCTTAACTTTAAACATTTTGACATTTTGCTCTTGGGAGTTAAGTCTAGCCCTGCCCCCTAAACAAACTATTTTTGTTTGTGGTTTGTCCTTTTTCCATTTAGAAGCCCAGCTCTCCCACAGTCTCTGTCCCTGCTGGTTTGTTCTGGCCCCTTCTGTGTGGCATGCCTGATCTATTCCTGGTTTCTATGGTCTGTTCTTGCAGCTTTCTGTTCCGTTCTGTTCTCATTGGCTGTCCCCATAGAAATAGCTGTCGTACTTCTTTTTACAGCAAGTTCTAGACCTGAGAAATGCTTCAACTTCTCAAGTGTGCTCGTCAGCAGGTTTTGACAATACTCTCTGTATACAGTCAAGATATGGGCTATGCCATTTCCCAGCTAACCCCCTACCCTCCCTCCCACCCTAGCCCCGCAAGTAACTGGTAATCTCGTTACTAAGGACTAGGTTACATTTTTCTTTTCTTTTTTTTTTAAAGATTTATTTATTTATACACAGAAGAGGGCGCCAGATCTCATTACAGATGGTTGTGAACCACCATGTGGGTGCTGGGAATTGAACTCAAGACCTCTGGAAGAACAGTTGGTGCTCTTAACCTCTGAGCCATCTCTCCAGCCCTAGGTTACATTTTTCTAATCTCCCTCCCCACTTGGGTTTCTTTAATTTTTGTTTGTTTGTTTGTTTGTTTGTTTTGTTTTGTTTTGAGACAGAGTCTCACTGTGTAGCCCTGGCTGTCCTGGAATTCACGGAGCTCCACCTGCCTCTGCCTCCAGTGTGCTGAGATTAGAGGTGTGTACCGTTATGCTCAGCTTCTAGTCTCTTATGGAGCTGGAACGATATGGTATTGCTATGGCATAGATGCTTGTGCCTCCCTGAAACCCCCATCCTTATTTTGAAATTGTTACCATTATATGATGAGGCCTTTGGAAGGTGATTGTCAAAGTGGAACCTTTGAATGAGTTCAGTGCCCTAATTAAAGAGATCTGGTAACTTGTTCTTCATCATGTGAAAACATGTTAGAAGTCACTGTTTATGAAGGAGAAAACGGTCTCTCCTTGGATACCAAATCTGCTAGCTCTTTGGTCTTGGACTTTCTGGACTCTGAAACTGTGAGAAATAAACATCCTTTGTTTATAAGCCACGACCCCACAGTATTTTATAAAGCAGCTGTGCTGAATCGCTTTATGTCACCTTGACACTAGCTGAAGTCATCTGAGAGGAGGGAACTTCAAGTGAGAAAATGCCTCTGTAAGATCCAGCTGTAGAGCATTTTCTTATTGGTTACTGATGCGAGCCCACTGTGAGCGGTGCCACCCCTGGGCTGCTGTAAGGAAGCAGGCTGAACAAGCCAGTAAGCAGCAGCCCTCCATGGGCTCTGCCTCAGCTCCTGCCTCCAGGTTCCTGCCCTGTTTGAATTCCTGTCCTGACTTCCTTCACCGATGGACTATGGATGTGGAAGTGTAAGCCAGACAAACCCTTTCCTCCCTCACTTGCCCTTGGTCATGGTGTTTCATTATAGCAGTAGAAACCCAAACTAAGACAGCAGTCAAAATGGACCAAGAGAAGGGTGTTCTTGAAAGTGTGTCTGGCTTATGTTGCTCAGCCCAGTATACTTTTAGATTTATTTATGTGTATGAGTGTTTTTCCTATGTGTATGTATAGTACCACATTCCTACCTGGTGCTCATGAAGCTCAGAATAGGGCGCTGAACCCTCTGGATTACTTCCCAGTCTTCAAAGGGTCGCATCTGTTGCATCTTTTCTAAGGTGGCTTGTATTTCATTTAGTTTTATTTTTAGCACACGCATGAATCACTGTGTAGTCACTTGGACAGTATTTTGAAAGTGTGCCTCTTTCATGTAGGGTCGTCTGTGAGAGCGTTATTGCCGAGATCAGTGTCCCAGGCTTCAGGACATCTAACTGTCCCAGGGTGTTAAGTTTCCACACAGAGTTCATATTGGTGATACTCCGCTCTTGAGCTCCTGCCCCATCCTACTCTGTGTGACCACTTTGAACTCAGTGCCAGTCAGGTACCCAAGCTCTGCAGCTCCCCCTTACCAACTTGGCTTAGTGGCTCTGAACTAACGTTGAGGAGACTCTCCAAGCATCTTAACAAACCCCTAAACCTATGTCCTGTTTCTCAAGGGGACACATGAAAGGATTTCAGGAGCTAAGTGGCCCCAAGGCTGTTGCCAATGCTAATTTTTTATTTGTTTATTTTGAGACAGGCTGTTACTATTTTCCCTTGCTGGGCTCTCTGCAGACCAGTCCAGTCTGGAACTAACAGAGATCCACTTGCTTCTGCCTCCCCAGGGTTAGGATTAAAGGGTGGACCACCACCTCCAGCACAATGTTAATTTAAATTTAATCAGTCAAATAACCACTCACATTCTGCAGTTCAGTATGACTGCGTCTTGCCGTTCCAGGACTCTGCCTGGTGTTGGAGTTGCCTGAAGTTGCCTCCTTTACAAGGCCTTGCGTGCTGGTGATTGTCTATTTCAGTAAGCTCCATTTTCTTTTTCTTAATTGAAACTGAAGGTGAATACGCTCTGCTCGCAAACCTGTATTTGGGGGGATGACTGTATCCAGAAAGCCATCTGATTTAGCACTCAGACCTGGCGTGAGACACGTCTCATCTCCAGGAGGTACCAGGAGTAAAATCACCAGTGAATGGCGGCCCTCCCTTCTTCTAATTACAGGGTTCTTGAGTCATCGGCTGAACTCTCAGAAAAACTCCGGGGAGATTTCTCCACAGCCCTGCAGTATTGGAAGGTGAGTTTAGGTGTCCTTGACAGGTCCCAGGACAAATGGCTGCCTGTGGTGCCTAGTAGCAAACCAAAGCACCCAAGGGCTTTTATTCCCTCCCCCAGCTTCTGATTCCTGTAAAAACCTGTCTTCCGGCCATGCGCTTTTTGCTCTCCTGGTTCTTTTTGCCTGCTTGGCTCTCCCTTGGCTCCCCCCACCCTCTCCTCTCATGGCCCGGGTCAGTCTGCTGGCCATATTCAGTCTGTCGTTTTCTCTCCCTTGCAGATGCCTCTGCCTGTTCTCTCCCTCAGATCTGCTGTGGATATTGCTCTGTATGCTGCTTGGGTCTGAGCGGCTGCAGGAGCCCGGTGGATACAGGAAAACTCCAGCTACACATATCTACAATAAAAACCTTCTCCTCAACCGCACCTAGGAGCTGTCATGGCCTCATTTCATTCATCTTGTCATTCAAAAACAAATAATAATTGAGCCTTGTCTTCAAGTTGGGTCCAAACAGAAAG